TTTCTTAAACTAATTTATAAGTGCATTAATAATCTAGCACCTGAGCCACTAAGTACATTTATTGTGAGACAGGACAACATCCGAGTCACCAGGAGCTCCACAAATCTTGACTGTAAAATATCATACTGCAGGACCAGTTTTGGACAGACAACCTTCTCTGTAAAGAGTTCTAAACTCTGGAACTCTTTACCTTTTGAAGTCAAGACTGTGTCAGACTTTAAGATGTTCATTTCCAGGCTGAAAAATTGGTTAAAAATAAACCAAAACTGTACTCATTTTTAACTACATTTAATTATTAGAGTTGTATATGATATGTATGTATGCTTATTAGTATTTTTATTTATTTATTTATTTATTTTTTGAAGTAGCTAATCATGTAAATTTTATTGTATAAAAGCCCTTCCAGGGACAGGAGTTGAAAATTAGCTATAGCTATAAACTTTATATGCAACACTTCAGTGACATGCTTGATCTTGACACCATGTTTGTTTGCATTGTCCCTGTCAAATAAATAAATAAAAATTAATGTAGGGCAGGGTGTCAATCTGCCAGAGACGCTCAACGTTCTTGAGTAACTCAGCATTCTGAACATCGATGAAGATGTCCAGACATTGTTGATCACAGGAGGCAGTTTGGCTGTACCCCACAGGGCCTTGAAGAGTCCAACTAAGTCTGGTGTGAACCGCTATTGGTGCATTAGGAGGACCCATTCGTATAGGTTGGACTGGTACAAGTAGGTGAGGCATATCCGACCCAATGAGTAGTAAGGGTTGTGCTCGCTCAATCTGTGGCAATGGTAAAGCCCGGATATGGGCATATTTGTATTGAAGAGCAGCTATTGGATAAGAGTGTTCCGATAGTCTCAGATTCGCTGCAGTGAAGGCATGAATTATCTGAAACATCTTGGTTGGTCTGTTTAGAGGTGACACAGAGAGAGAAACAGATGCTCCATTTAATTGATGTACATCCTGACGTATTGTACGTAATGTGAGAGTTTCAGGCACTGTGGTAAGGTTTAACTGTTCCACGGCTTGTGGAAGTACAATGCTACGCTCGGAGAGCCATCGTCTAACACTGCATACGTCTCCATGGCTTTATCTCCATTATGGAGTAGGACCTTAACTACCTTAAAGGGTTAGTTCACCCAAAAATGAAAATTAAGTCATTAATTACTCACCCCCATGCTGTTCCAACCCCGTAAGACCTTCGTTCATCTTCGGGACACAAATAAAGATATTTTTGATTGAATCTGAGAGCTGGATCACTCCTACATAGACTGCCTAAGGGACTGGCTCTTGACGGCCCATAAAGTCATTAAAGAAAAGGTTTAAATATTCCATGTGCCTACAGCGGCTCAATTATAAGTTTATCAAGCGACGAGACTACTTTTTGTGCGAAAAAAACAAAAATAACGACTTTATTCGACTATTCCATTACTTCCTTATGGGCGCATGCGCGAGAACTGAGACGAGGACGTTCTCCTTCGACTTGTTACCGGCTGCTAAAAATGGAGAATTTACATCGCAGTCATGTGATTTAGTCAGCTTGATTAACATTATTACAGTATATTTCTATTTAACACAGATGTTATTTGCTAATTACATAAGCTCAATTGATAAGTATAAATATATATTTAGAACATTTATAAGTATATTTGTATGGTCCTCGAATGTGTTCGAATATTTCACCAGTATCAGCCTTTTTCACCGTTTGTATCACTCCACTTGTTTGTGTTTGCCCAACTTGCATCATTAGGCCAGTAGGTGGCGACAAGTGACTGTCTTTATGAGTGAACAATTGAACTTTAACTGAACTGATTAGTGCCAAAAATATTGATTAGCTAACCTTAGAAAGAAACAAGTTGCTGAAACCAATCTTTAATGCTAATATATAAATTGCTCATTTTCCTCTGGACACAAAAAGATTGCACTGGTGTTTGATTGAAATAACAAATATGCAAAATAATCCTTGAAAGATTTCTCATTAAGGCCATTCCTGTTTGGAATATGGATTGTGGATTGTCAACAATAAGCAGAAACATTCTAGCCTGGATGCCAGCCCGAACTCCGCCCACAACATTTTTTGGTCGGGAAGTTCGGTCTGGACTTGATCCATTGAGGATTAATTATGATCAGGCAAAAAATGAACAGGCCAATCAGATTGCCAGGGTGGGCTTTATACGATGATGGACAGATGATCTGCAGGGACGTAATCGTCATGTTATCAAAGTGCGCTTGACAAAGATGACTGCAGCTGGAGAATTGAGATGTATAGATTCCGCTGTCGTGTCTTTTGTAAAATAAATCGACAGCGCATTCATTTTAATAGACAAACAGAAAACTGCAATCAAGGCATTTGTCGATCGAAAAGATATTTTTGGCGTCCTTCCTACATGATTCGTGAAAAGTGTAACTTATCAGCTGGCTCCGATGGTCGCTAAGAAGATGGGACGTAATGAAAAGCCTGTGGTCGTTGTGGTTTCTCCTTTGGTGGCACTCATGGAGAAGTAAGTAAAAGAAGCAACACTCGTTATTTAACTTCTAAAATAAATAAAGTTAGGCTACGTTCTGTATTTGAAAACTGCGCTATGCAAAGGAGTTGACTTACTGCGTTGCTCTGATTGGTTTTAGGTCTATCCAATTGAGTGCAGAGTTTTTTTTTCCTGGTTCGGTTACGACCCAGATAGCACAAGGGTATTTGATGTCCTATTTACATCTGGAAGACGTATTTTAAAAAGTGTTTTCTCATCTGCAAGACGTCTATAGAACGTTTCCTGTCAGATGTCAAATAGACGTTTAGAAGATGTCAGTTTAACATGCATTCTAAATCATTACATCTTAGAGACATCTTCTAAACGTCTATTTGACATCTGCAGGAAACTTCCTATAGACGTCTTGCAGATGAGCAAACACTCTTTAAAATACGTCTTCCAAATGTAAATAGGAGATCAAACAGCCTTGTGCTATGTGGGGACACGCCTCATAATCAAAGCCCAATGAAGCGGTTTCAGACTCATATTCTCTCTTGAATATGAGTATGACGAAGTCAGGCTAGAAACATTCTGCATTTGCATCCAAGTGTGGATCATTCATTTCAACATTTATCCTCAGTCTCATATTTAAGAATCTGTAATCGTTTATGCTACTGCCCACTGACATGCTTTTAAAGCTATTGTTATAACATTTTTATGACCTTCAAACACCTTAAAATGCACACTTGTAGGTCTGAGAAATCCAAATTTTCTCGGGCGAGTATGCCCCCGAACCCGCCTAACTTCCTCACCTTTGAATGCGCGTAACTGTCTGTGGTAATGTGGGCTGGTATGGTTACAGCGCCAGGGATGTTTGTTGTTTTTTTAACCAGTCTGGCCCACATATAGGCCTGCAATATGCATTATTCTCTGTATCGAATCATGCTATCTTATTCCCCACCCCAGCCCCTGATGTTTTGGGTTCAGCCCCTGATGTTTTTAAAATCTAGAAACGCCCCTGTCCATAACATAGGCTATAAAAATGCACAACAAACTTGGTGTTCATATATATTTAATAATTGTAACCAGAAAATAAGCTATCTTCCCCAAAACGCGTCAAACATTTTTTTAAAGACTTTATTGTCTTATCTGAATGAGTAGTCAGGAAGATTTTCACGTAGTTTTGGAGCAAATACCCTAGGCTATGTGATACAATTTTCAAAAGTCTTATGAAGAAATAATCAGTATGGGTTTTATGACCTTATTTCAGTGACAATTGTTTTTTCACAAACCACACATAAACGTCATTATCTCAAAACTACAAAATTTTACATACATGCTGCTGACATATTATTGTAGCAGAGTTTGTGCTGAATACAGTGTAATAATTCTTTAGCCATGAAAATGTCACAAGTAACAGAAAAAAGCACACATGTCAGAGCTTGTCAGAACACCTCCAGGATCCAGAAAACAGCTCTGACCCCTAAGGGTTAACACTGCTTCGGTGTTCATTTAAAGGGAGACTCCACCATTATTTTTCATATTAAACTATGTTATTCACTTAAGTAAGACGAGTTGATGCTGCATAACTCTGTCGTCTCATAGCCTGCACTTAATCGCTCTGGCGCACAAGACACTTTGATCACACTTAACTAGCCCAGTTCATTCAATATGGGCAAAGCAGAAAAGGAACCTCCACGTTTTCCCAATTTAAATACAGTTACTTGAGTAGTGTAACTCGACCTAGGACGCCGAGTCGAAGTGCTCCCAAGCACATGCTGTGGTATTCCGCCATTCAATATAGTTATCCACTTTACACACTTGGAAAAGCGCAGCTTTTTATTTTGTCACTGTCCTAGGTCGAGTAACTCTACTCGAGTAACTGTATTTAAATAGGCAAAACGTGGAGGTGTTTGGTCGCTTCTCTGCTTGGCCCCTATTGAATGAACTGGGCTAGTTAAGTGTTATCAAAGTGTCTCGCGTGCCAGAGCGATTGAGTGCACACACTGAGACGAGAGAGGTATGTATCAACTCGCCTTAGTTAAGGGAATAACATAGTTTAATATGAAAAAACGGTGGAGTATCCCTATAACACTCTGCTCAGAGTTGATATAATTCACACTTTTAAGTGTTAATTTAACACTGGGGATTTTGCTGTGTAATGTGTCCATCTCATATGACACAAAATTACAGGAATTAATTGGCCTGAAATTGCAAAGTGGAATTATTTTATATAATTATAACTATATATATAATTCTTAATGTACATACAAAAATGTTTGAAAAAATTGGGAAAAAAATTATAGAGGTAATATAAAATGTATTTTATATAGAATAAAATAATATAAAAATACACATAAAATGACACTTTACAGAAAAGTCTCATACATGCCATTAACATGTTTTCTGTATATTTTAAATTGTATAGTTTTGTCACAAAAGGGCATGTTATTTTTGAAGTTCAAATTAATTATATATATTGAATCTTGTCTTTCAGTCTCTTGAAGTTATTTTGATCTGATAAGGATCGCAGAATAGATTCTTGTTTTTCCATTAGATATATTGTTCCAAACTCTCAATAGCTTCTTGTTTTGAGTAATTTCTCCATTCATCTGGTATCTTCCCCTTCCCCTTAAATGTTTTATCGTAGTATTTTTGCAGATGTTTCTGGAATCTGCACACAAACCACTTCCAGTAGGGCAGTTCAGAGAGATCAGATGTGATGCTCCAGTCTGCATAAACTCCTCCTGCGCTTCTGTATTCCCGCCAGAGGACATTATCATCTGAGGCATTGGGATAAAAAGATCGACTGCTTGCCACTGCTGATGTGCAGATGCTAGTAGACAGGTTTGTCGTATTCTTGTAATGCATCCCATTTAGTCCAATAACATGATGGAAATTAACGCTGTGATCTCCATCATGGTTTTCTATGGTGTTGGTGCAGGTGGCTTTACAGAACGGACACTGAACCCAACAGCACTGACAGAAGTGACCAATCAGAAGCTCATCTGGCCTGAACTTATAGTCCAGATTTACTGGAAAAGTTGTTGTGTTAGATATACTGATGGTATCAGACATTATAGCAGATAGTTTGTCTCTTATCACATCCTCTAGGAGTTTCAAATCAACATCATCATGTTTGACTCCACTGAGGTCTTTTACAGAGAAGATCAGCTCATCTGAGAGCCGCTGTGTGAAGCTCTTCAACCACAATCCAACATCTCCTTCATTCTCTTGAACATGTTTAGTAGATTCATGTGCTGCTTTCATGATCTTCTGCTGCAGGAGTTCAATGTTCTTCTCCATCTCGGGTAAAACACTGACACTGAACTTATCATCGATGTACCGACTGACTTCATCTCTGATGAAACTCTTGAGGTGATCTCTGGGATTATGAATGTAGTTCATGTATTTTTCAAAATCCCCCTCTTCTGCCAGTGTCTTCAGGATGTGTTTCTCCAGATTTGATCTGTTTCCATTCAGTGATTCACAGTTTGATCTAATTTCACCAGCCAGATCTCTGGCAGTCTTCTTGTAGACACTCTGCTCAATGGGCTCTTTCAGTTTCTGACAGATGATCTCACCAAAAATAGCAGCTGATGTTGATCCATGACAGTATTTCTGGAAAATACTATAGTACTCTTCTCTCTTCTTCTCAACATATATTACAGGATCATTGGCTTCCCTGAACATCCTGTGTTGGTCAGTGATCATCTTGTTTGCTCTCTTACAGATGGAAAGAACCAAATCCCTGAAGAATTCATTCTTGAAATCATATCTCGCTGGTCCTTCCTGAAGTGCTTTTACTCTTTTCTTAATGTAACCTGTGAGTTCTTGAATGCAGCTGATGTTGTAGCCCATCTTTGAAATGTTAGATGACATGATCATTGAGTCTGTATGCCGAGCAACGTCTGTGACTAATGCTCTTATTTGGGCTTCATCCTCTCTTGATAGATTGCAACCGAATGTCTTAGTTGATCTGTGGATGTTTGTGACTGATCCTGTAAATCCACTGGATTTCTTTAGCTGTACATAATCTGAATAACTTGGTACAGAAAAAATATCTCTGCACTCACTTTTCTCCATATGTAGGCCTACAGAAACACTTTTATTGGTGTCACTGAAGATCTCTCTCACATCTCTCATTATATCAATGTCTTTGATTGGAGGAGTGTCTGAGATGATCTTATTCATCCACTGTTTCCAAAACAAATCAAACTCTTTATTCACTGTTTCTTCATCATTCGCTTTATCTTTGAGTTTTAAGGCAAGTTCTTTGCTCTTTTCATAGAGAGTGTTTTCTTGATGTGTCCTCTGAGCATCAATCTCTTTCTTCAGGTCTCGCTGTAGAAGAACCTCATTTAATTTCCTCTTGGTTTCTTTCACAATGTTTTCCTGAAGCTCCTTGATTTTGATTTCTAATGATGTTTTCCACTGAATCAGTATATCAGCATCAGTGTCCTTTTCAAAGAATTCAGACATTGATTTTTCCACTTCTTTACTTGTCAGCTTCAGTTCTCTTTGAAGATCAGTTTCCTCAACTTCATGAATTGTTTCATTTTCTATTTGGTTGTAAACTCTGTTCTCAATTTCCATCATCGCACTGCGAAGACTCCAGGTCCACTTGCTGTATTCGGTCTCCAGTTTTCTGTTAGCTGAAATTTCCAGAGATTTTCTGAAATTGATTATGAATTGTTTATTCAGTAAAGCTTCCCAGAGATCTTTAATACGGTCTTTTAAGTGTATCAACATCATTCCATGTGACTTTGATGTGTACGTTTGAATAGATTCTTTTAGCTCTTGAATGTTCTCGCAGTAGTTTGGGTTTGGTGGTGCCATTGGTGGGCTTCCCTCCCAGAGCTGAGCAAAATACTTCACATCTTTCTGAACATCAAATCTAATGACATCACTGAAAGCATCTGCGTCATAATCATCCTCTTTAGCAGCGAGTTTTGTCATCTCATCCAGTGTCTCCAGCAGTCGTCTCCTTCCCTCCATGTTTTTAAGTCTGCCTGTGACATCTGAAATGTTCTGATGCACAAACACACAGCTGGGATTCAGTCTGACCTTTTTCATCCTCAGAAAGACCCGAACAACAATTTGAAGAATGCCCTGCATCTCAGATGGGTTTTCTCCAAATATGTTGATCAAGGTCAGATTACTAAGACCAACAACAAATGTGGCCAGTTCATTGTCATGATGTCGTGTTGATCTTCCAGCCAGTTCTAGAGCACAAAGACCCTCAGTATCAACAACCAGAATATAGTCAAAGTTCATCTGTGTTTTCATCTCATCTGAGACTTTGACCAGCTGCATGAAAGCTCCTCTGGTGCACCTGCCAGCACTGACGGCAAACTCCAGTCCAAACATGGCATTCAGCATGGTGGATTTCCCAGAGCTCTGAAGCCCTAAAACTGACAGCACAAAGACTCTCTGGTCTCCCAGTTTCTGGATGAGTTCATCTATAACAGCAGAGATCCAGATCACAGGAACATGAGCAGCATCTCCATCCATCAGCTCCAGTGGAAATCCAGAGATCATCATCTCTGCTGCAAGACTTGGGAGAGAAGAGAAGTGAAACTGCAGATCTTTCTTGTTCTTCTTCACAGATGAACATGATTCATAGATCTGACCGATCTCCCTCATGATGTGCTCCAAACCAAAGGATGCAGTCTGAAGATCCTCAGATATTCTCTCAAGTTCTGCTTGTTCAGCTTTGAATTGTTCAGGTTTTTCATTGTTCTCTTTCAGTTTTAAAACTGCTGACCACTTTTCATCATACTTGTGGTGTAGAGCAGAAATATCTGGTGAGATATATTCATCCAGGAAGATTTCAAGCCATTTAAGGAAATAGATCTTACTCTCTGCATCCAAGTGAATTTCTTTAATAAAGAACTGTATAAAAGTACTTATGTTTAATGCATGCTGCTGCTCACGTAATCACTTCAGGTTGGCTTGTTTTTTGCTGATGTCCATTTCTGTCTCATGTGCTTGAGATCGATGTAGTTCTTTGTTTTTCTGACTCCACTGACGCCACAGTTTCCCCTGATGAGGCAGAAATGAGTCTTTGATTTCTGTCAGATGTTTATCCTTCAGTAAACTCATCATCTGCTGTGCTGCTTCTCTTCCTCTCCTGCAGTCGTCATCATCTTCCTCATCTACTCTGATGTCTGAGTGTTTGGACAAATCTTCAAGTCTAAAAGTGGAAGATGATTCTGAGAGACAATCATTTATAGTTCTTCTGAGTTGCTCAGATACATCTGACAGGTGTCTGTGCTTCAAACCAATTTTGAAAATCCCTTTGTCCATCACAGTTACAGTAGATTCATCTTCATCGAAAAGACAAATGAGTGGCTTTCTGTTTGTGCACAGGTTTTGGATTATTGTTGAGTTTTCATCATGCCTGGGAATTTGTGGTAGAAGAACAACATTGACTGAGGCCATTTCAGTGAGGATCTGCAGCTGTTTCTCATGATCTCCTGCATCACCGTGTAGATTACAGAACGCAACACAGTCCGTGAATTTATCTGTTTTTTTCCCAGAGGGGCAGAACCAGGCGATCTCCACCACTCCATCCATCAGGACTCTGGTTCTGCTGCTGCCTGGACAGTTCCTGTGGAAGAACGTGTTGTGTTTCTCATTGATCAGACTGTTCATCAGCTGAGACTTGGATGAGGACACAGAGACAAACCTGAAGAAACACACCATTGGTGTTTCTGCCTTGTAGACAAGACGGGTTTGACTGATGATTTCATTGTTGTTGTTTCTCATCTTCCAGCTCTTGTTGATTTGTCTGAATGTCCAGAGAGGAAACTCAATATGTTGTGTGAATGGATCAGGAACAAGCAAAGGCAGAGCGTACTGACACTGGGACAGTTTAGACACCAGCAGCTGCTTCAGGAAACCATCAGCACAATGAAACACGGCCATCTGAACATCCATTGGGTGGATTTGCTCAGATTGACTTGTTCCTTCATTAGAGAAAGATATTTGTTTGAAAATATCACTGTTGCCTTCAGTTGATTCATTGTCTATTTGTTGTGTGTGAACCTGTTCATTGGTATCTTTAATATTAGTGTATCTTACTCTGTAGTTCATCCTCTGAAGTTTTTGTATGAAACTCAGAACCAGTTCCTCCTCAGCACAGGACTCATGGGTCTGTAATGAATGTGCTGTTAACTGAAGAACGTCTTCTCTTTTAAATGTATGTTTGTTTTTGTCAAGATGAAGTCTGTGAAATAGATGCTCTATTTGTTTTCTTTCTGTCTTATCCTGTTGTATGTGTTGATCTGGGCTGACTCCTGCTGGTATAATGCCTTTGTTTTCTCTCTGTTTAATAGAAAAAAACCAATGAGACATATTTATCAGCTTTTTACAGTACTCTTTTAAACAAAACTGTAATTCCCATTCAATCAATCACGTTCAACATCAAATCGATACTGACCCATTGCATTACTCTGTTTCTGGTTGCAGTCATTTGTTGGCTTCATTGAAACCTCCTCCACTCTCACTACCCTCAATGGAGGGTTATAAGGGTTATATGGAGATTCACCAGGTGAAGCTTGCATTTATGCCCGCAAAGTGCTGCCACCTGGTGTGCCATTCCCCCAGGTTCAGCAGCGTACTTTTTACCTCAGTGGCAAACAAAGTCACCCCTGTCCTGTGTGCGGAAATTGCGGCGCTCCTGGCGAAGGACCAGCCCGTTCTCATCCTAGGGCATCATATAGTGACACTTTTTAAATTTCGTCTAAATCCAACGCAATAGGCGCCTCCTAGTGGTCTAACCCTAAACCTAAACCCTAAACCTACCCCTAAACCTATAACCTACCGTGTTATATTGACGCTAAAGGGTGCCATGTGTGTCGGATTTAGACAAAATTTCAAAAGTGTCACTATATGACGTCCAAAGATGAGAACACGTAGAAGGACACTATAAAGCCTGCCCCTCCAGCCAAGATGAAGTATGGGTAGTGTAACCTGTACTTCATTATACCCAAGAAAGGTGGTGGGTTAAGGCCAGTTGCAGAAGCATATCCTCAAATGTGTTCACACCGAGGATTGGTTTGCAACAATCGACCTGAAGGAAATGTATTTTTATGTCCAGATCTTACCTCGATACAGCTCGTTCCTAAGTTTTTCTTTTGAGGGTCGAGCATGTCAGTCCTCCCCATGCCAAGATCCTCCCCTGTTCCTGTCTCGCCTTGCTTTAACACAGTCACGGAGGCTGTCCGTACCCTGCTCAGGGACAACTGCCTCATTCTAGCGTACTCTTGGGATCAGTCATGCGAACTCAGAGACCTGGGGCATGGTGCATTCAGCCCCTGGTCAGAACTTGTCTTTCTACTGGCTGGAATGCCCTTAGAATAAGTGTACAGGCATGTTGTTGTCACAACAGATGCCTTAGGACCGGTTTGGCATATAAATTGTGCTTGTGCAACAATTGCAATTGGTGCTGTGTGCAACAGGCGTGGAGCTTCGGGCTCCTGGACGGGACTCACCTACACTGGCATACCAATTGCCTGGAGTCACCTATTGGTCCGCACAAACAACACTGTGACTGTTGTGTACAGGTATGCTGACGTTGCATGTCCCAACTCACCTGCCATCTCCTCCTCTGGAGTCAGTATAGGCTCAATTCGCTGTGCACCATTCACATCCCGGGGAGCTTAATCAAGCGGCACTCTCACTTCGCGCTCTCACGACAGCTCGTATTCCCGAGAGAATGGAGACTCCACCCTCAGGTGGTCCAGATGATCTGGAGTCGATTTGGGGATGCACAAGTAAACCTGTCTGCCTCCCATGAGTCCTCCTACTGCTAATTGTTCTATTCCCTCACCGAGGGGACCCTCATCGGCACAGATGCACTGGCACACAGCTGGCCCCACGCAAGTATGCGGTTCTCCCAGTGAGCTTACTCGACAAACACTGTGCAAAGTCATGGAGAATGAAGAGCAGGTCTTGTTGGTTGTGCTTTACCAGCCCACCCGGACCTGGTTTTCTGACCTTATGCTCCTGGCAACAATCTAACCCTCCCTGTTGGATTCCCCTGAGCAAGGACCTGATTTTTATGGAGCACCATATGGCACCCTCGAGGACTTAAGTGGCCTCCTTTAAAGTTTAAGTCCCCTTTAAACCTCAGGTACAAGTCAGTAAACAGACTTTTTCTTTAATTCAATTTGGCATTGGATAGGTTATGCCAAATGGGCACGCTACAGCTTGTGAGCATCTGTGTCTCCGAAACTCGTAACACAGTTCAGTGGCTGGAAGTAGCGTCTCTGTTCCTGATGTAACCCTCATTCTCTGAAGGAGGAAACCAAGACGTGATGTCCCTCCTGCCACAGCCCTGATCTAATGCTGAATGTCTTACGTCAGTATTGATGTAACATCTTCGTTCAAGGAACGAGGTTTACATTAGTAACCAAGATGTTAGATCCGAGATGTATCTAGCAGTGGACTGTTTGTATTAGTCAGCTTTTTTGTTTGTTCCAGACATATTGTCAGTCTGTGCATTACTGGTAGGAATTTTTCACTAACTATTTCTAGAAAACAAGTTTGAATCACTTGCTTTCCCTAAACAAAGAACAGATGAGTGGTTACACTACAAATGTAATGTAACCAAGTGCATTTCTTTTGGTCTTCATATGTAGCCTCAGTGATTTGATTGTTTTAAAAAACTGGCTCTATCACCCTCTCCTCTCCACCTAGCGCACTCGCGCCATTGTAATGTGTCATCCAAGTTGTGGTGGTTGAGGAGAGATCCCAGCATGATTGTAAAACGCTTTGTATGTACAGTAGTACATATGAAAGCGCTATATAACTGCCTCATTCATTCATTCACTATCCATCTAGGAACATAAGCCGCTTTCCGACCGGAGTGACTTTTGCAGTTCCTAGAACCTAACGTTCCTATAACCCTTTTTTTCTCGTGTTCCGACCGGGCTAAATTGGGGATTTTTTAGTTCCTCAGACCGTAGTTCCTATAACTCTTTCAGTACGTAGTCTAGAGCGAGGACTTTTTTAGTTCCCTTTCCCTAGGTCTACGTTGATTGGTTAAACTTATAAGTCATGCCCACTGTCAACACGGAACTTGTAGCGCGTTGTCTGCCATACGCGGTGTGTTTTTGCAAAACATTACAATGAGGATTAAGAAAAACATAACGCATTCAACCAGCTGATTGCTAATAATAGCTAAACTTACCCGTCGTTTTGTTTGCCTCCTGCGCTCTGCTCTTTTATCTTCTTCCATCATATTACTTAATATCATATTACGCTGGAGCATTCGTCTTCTGTGTTTCTCTGTACAGAACTCAAGCATAATCTTTAAACGCCGCCGTTCGTTCTCCGTTGGTCCCGGCAAGGCAAAACAGGAACATTGCAATAGCCGCGCTACGCGCTACGTCTAGTGATGACGCTATAAAGCCCGTTGCCGTGCTTGCGTTAACCCTCCTACTACCAGTTCCTATGGCCACTTGGCCAGTGCGAACGCAAGCAGCAAAACCGAGTTTGGGGGAGAGTAGTTCTTAGAACTGTTTAGAAGTGGACAGTTCCTATAACTAAGTTCCTGTAACTACTTGGTCGGAAAGCGGCTATAGACATTTTTCCTATTGAGGTGTTCAAAGTGTTAAAATGCTATCAATAAACATTGAATTAGTTCTCTCCAGGTTTCTCTGAACACTTACCTGTAGTGAATCATCAGTTTCAGAGCAGGTCTTCATCTCATCTTTCTCTTCTTCATATTCCTCTTTCCTCTCAAATTTAATTCTGTTTAGGTCATCTTCATGCTGTTCTTTAAGGTGTTTCAGTGTTTCTTCAAAAGACTTTTGTTGGTCTTCTCTCATGTGTTTTTCATCTTTCAGTCTCTTCTCAAAATCTTCTAGTTGTTCTTGTTTCTCTCTTTCAATTCTCTCTTTCTCTCTGACCATTCCCTCTATTTCATTCACGAGTCTCTGATATCGCTCATCAGAAATCTCCTTTTCTCTCTCCAGTCTCTTCTTTTCCTCCTTTTCTCTTTCTTTCTCTTTTTTCTCTCTTTCTCTTGTTTCAGTCTTTCATCTTCCATCATCATCCTCATTGTCTTTTTCTCGTCTTCTAATTTGTCCTTCAGTTCTTCTTTTTCTTTGTTCATTTGCTCCACTTTCTCCATCAAGATCTTCATGTTGTTATCATTAGCTTCAAGCTTAGATTGAAAATCTTGTCTCTCTGTTTCTATTCTCTCTCTCTCTTGTTTTAGTCTCTGATTAAATTCATCCCAAATTCTCTGTTCATTCAGTCTTCTTTTCTCATCCTCTTCTTCTCTTCTCTTCTCTCCTTCATTTTTTTTCTGTCTCTCCCATTCCTCTCGGTCTTGCTTCAGCTTTTCACTGATCTCTCTCTCTTTCTCTTTTATTTCAGTTTTGTATTGTTCTTCCCTCTCATTAAACATTTCTTCTCTTCTCTTTCTCTCTTTGTCATGACTCTGTCTTTCATTCTCTATTCTGTTCATCAGTTTGCCTATTTCTGTGTCATATTTGATTTGAAGTTTTTCTCTTTCTGCTTTTATTTTCTCCTTTTCTTGCTTCATTTGCTCAATGTCATGCTCAAATGCCTCTCGTTCTCTTCTCAGCTCGTCTCGTATCTGTCTCTGATGTGCATCTTGTTCTGTTATTTTTTTTTTGAGTTGCTCTTCTCTTCTTTTTCTGTCTTTGTCGTGATTTTGTCTTTCTTCCTCCATTATCATCTTTATTCTCTGTTTCTCTTCTTCCAGTTTGATCACCAGTTCTTCTTTTTCTCTGTTCATTTGTTCCACTATCTCCATTACGAGCTTCATGTTTTCTTCTGCTTCATGTTTAGATTGAAGATCTTCTTTCTTTCTTTTCATTCTCTCTTTCCCTTGTTTAAGTCTCAGATTAAATTCATCCCAAGCTCGCTGTTCCTTCTCTTTTCTTTTCTCATCCTCTTCATCTGTACACATCTTTTCTTCTCTATGTTTCTGTTTCTCCCATTCCTCTCGTTCTCTTCTCATCTCCATTTTATATTGTTTCTCTTTCTCTCTAAATTCTTCTTCTCTTCTCTTTATCTCTCTGTCATGATTCTTTTTTTCTTCCTCCATCATAATCACCATTTTTTCTTTCTCTTCTTTGTGTTTGGTCATCAGTTCTTCTCTTTCTTTGTTCAGTTGCTCCACTTTCTCCACCAGGAACTTCATTGTTTGCTCTTGTTTTTCTCTCTCCATCTTTCTGAACATCTTACATGAGTAGAAACTCCCTCCATTTGCTTTCACCATGGCATCTATCTTCTCCAGTAGATCATACACCTGTGTTCGGTCTCCAGTCTGATTATTATTGAACACATGATATCTGTTTCCACATGCTTCTATAAGATTCATTAAAGGAGTTCCAGGTTTTCCTAAACACTGTTCAATGGTTTTGTTCTTCAGACCATCTCCTCTGGTGAAGAGCACCATGGTGTACATTAAAGACTTCTCACCAAACGTCTCTTGGATGATCTTCACTGATTTTGCTTCTTCTGGAGTGAATCTTCCCAGTGGAATCAGTAAGAGAAACACATGCGGTCCAGGCAGGATCATGGAGATGCAGTTGGTGATTTCTCTCTGGATCTCCTCATTGGTAAGTTCAGTATCAAATAGTCCTGGAGTGTCGATCACAGTGACGTGTCGGCCACTGATTTCTGCTGTTTCTCTCCGAGTCTCACCTGTAACTGATTGAAAAGATTCTTCTGCTGTAAACACATCCCTTCCTAAAATGGTGTTTCCTGTTGCACTCTTCCCAACTCCTGTTTTTCCCAGCAGCACAATCCTCAGATCATCTCGACTCTCTTTTGAACCTGTAAAAGAAGAAATGCATTAGTCTTAAAGCCTAAAGTCTTAGTCTTAAAGTCTTTACAAAGTTTGATTCTGTAATTTTATGCAGAATCATTAACTTCAAATTTGTGTTTGACTGCTGTATGTGAGTTATAACAGCCAGATGAACAAATAGAAAAGGTGATCTGATGGTGTTGGTTGTATTTTAACATAATCATTAATTGACCTGAATCGCTGAACTCATCAAGAGCATAAATTCTGAGTTAAATTTACCTTATGGCTTTTAGCAGCACGTCATTTTAGAGCATACCATTTTTAGCCTTTCCAATGAAATCCAAACGATCAAATAAATAAAAAAAATCCAAAAAATATTTTTTTTGGCACACACAGACAACAAGAATTAGCGTATATATCTCAGCAATGCTGACAAACAGATCACCTCTGAACACAAGGTAATTATTTATTCATGCAGCAATGCATGATGGGAGTCATAAATGAGTTTTGTTTGGTGGTGCCCAGAATGCAATGCAACATGCTTTATAATTGTTACCATTGTTGAGATTCACAGGCTAATTATTGATGTCTGTGTGTCTTTGTATAAGAGAAACTTTTAAGAAATTATTTTGAATACATTGTAAACGTTAAAAATATTATGCTGTACAAGGTCACTGCTGCTATAATTAATAAAGTAAACCTAACAAATTCAGTAATTCAGGTCAAATGATTTTGAAATACTTATTGTGTTAATAGGCAACCATCACCATCAGATCACCTTTTCTATTTGTTCATCTGCCTGATATAACTCATGTACTGCAGCCAAACAAAATCTAAAGTAAACGAATTAAGGGTCAAGAGCCCAACTAAAGCAAACACGCATCACCATAATGGTGACTTAAAAAAAATCTGATTTTCTCTTTCAGTGATTCTGCTTGTTATCATCAGGTGTCTTCAATAATGCTCAATCATCACTCAATTATTCACTTAATTATCTCATTAACTTTAACACTGCTTCAGTGTTCATTTTACACTCTGCTCAGAGTTTATATAATTCACACTTTAAAGTGTTAATTTAACACTGGGGATTTTGCTGTGTTGAATTCAGAGCAGCATCATGTCAGCTTATCAGTCGTCTTGTTAAGTGGTTTGTTTGGTTGTAATGTGGGGCAGCACGATTTGGGGAAAATATCCAACTGCAATTTTTCTGGTTACAATTGTGATTTGCGATTTAAAATGCGATGTTTAAAACAAATGAACATTATTATTGTTTTAATAAGAAACACCAGGTTTGTTGTGCTTGTTTGTAAGGCTGCTCAATTTGGCCCAAATGTTGTGCTTATACATTAAGAATAATCATATAAATTATTATTATTGCTAAATAGAAAATAATAAAAGTGGAAAAAATATGTATTATTGTGTGGTGGGCGTTTAATATGGAGCAGGAAAAATGGCAAAGATTTGAATTGTCATATTTAGAAATTTAGGCATGACATGTAATAAAAAATATACATATATACTGTATTTTATTAAGTATTTTATAGATTTGTATTTTTAAACACTGGAGTGAGTGTTTATAACTTTTACAGAAAAACTAACTTTATTTATAAAGCTTATCCACCTTATTTTGCGATACGGATGAAAGCTGTGAATGTGCAAGACTTACGATTCATTAGCTGCAATAGCTAAATAACTAAGAATAACAAAGTGCAGTAAACGGTAAAACTATTTGCACTTCAAACCAGTATGTTTATTAGTAATACATATTTAAAAAAAAATATTATTTATAATTAACAATTACTAGATTTCAGTATCAAACTGCATAGACTGAATAACTGTGCTAAGTGGAACACACTGGAAACCTCACTCAAATTGAAAATGCGTCCACTTATGAACTTATGATACAGAAAAACTTTTAGCCTCAACACTCTAGAGGATTATAGTGTATAATGTATAGTATATAGTTATCTGTTATGACCAAAATGATCAGTTATCAATGAACAATTCTAATAATCTGCTTTGTGGAACTCAGGAGCTTGATCTTGTTTTGTAGTTTGAATTTTATGATATTGGAGTTCGCAATTTCGCTTCTAAAACTATTAACATACAAAAAACACACTAAATGGTACATTTTTTTTAAATGTTAGAATTAAAAACTTTTAGTAATTTTCTAGAGTCAAAGTGTAAGTTCCAAACTGATTATCAGGTCATTACCTTGTGGCAGAAAAGTCTCTAGTGAAGGAATTTTCTTCTTAATTTCTTCAAATTTCAGCATTTTTTTAATCTGTGCCTCAAAAAATGTCTCTGTGGAGAAAAACCCACCTATGTTTTCTTCTACCATATGCTCAACATTCTCCATCAATGTGGACACTTGTGTGGTGGGACCAAAGAAATAATGTCGTCCTCCAAAACTCTCAATGGCAGACTGTGTTTCCTCATTGAGTTCTGCTTTCTGATGCTCTGAATTCTGCATTATGAGGATCATGATGTGTTTGTTGATTCTGGAGCCGAAGATCCTCTGGATCTCCTCCATTTCTGCTTTGTCTTCATTATTGAGTGGAGCGTCAGGAATAATGAGGAGGAAAACATGAACTCCAGGATCACAGAGAGACACACAGCGGAGAGTCTGACGCATCACTTCCTGCTCTGAGACCCAAGTGTTGAACAGAGCTGGAAGCTCCACTAGACGGATCACACGACCATGAAGATCCACGTCTGAACTTCTGCCTGTGTGCTGCAGGATCCGCTCTGATATGGAGGATTTTAATGTGCCGTCGCTCCCACACACAACCAGATTCAGCTTCTCCCCCTCTGAAACTGATAGAGGAACATTTAAAAACTGTTCATTTATCATTAGAAACATCATTTATCTTCACACTCACGTATGTCTGTGTCCTGTTGCTTCGTTGTGAAACCCTGTGAAGCTTCAGCACAATCCAGGTGCCGTCCATCATTCATTTTCTCAATGTCCTGAAACGTCTGCAGAAGATCCTCAGGAGAGTTGTTTCCCTGAAGACTGAAGTGTCTGTTGCAGCATTTCTGAATGATTTTCTGTAGGATGTCGTTGGTTTCAGTCGGCTCTTGTGTCGTGAGCACCATGGTGTGTTGATAAACCCGCTCAGAGAAAGAGTCCAGCACCTTCTCCACACACTCTTGATCTTCTGCTGAACACTGCTCATGTTTAAGGAGCAGAACGATCACATGAGGTCCTGGATCTGACAGAGACACACACTCTCTCACGGTCTTCGTGATCTGACGAAGTGACAGGTGTGTTTCGAGCAGCTGAGGACTGTTGATGATGGTCACTTGTCTGTCCGTCAGTCTTCCTCTGATTCTCTCGACAACACCTGGAGGAGCTTTACTATCAAACGCTGCTCGTCTCAACAGAAAGTACTCGACTGTTTTCTGACACACTCTTCCCCAGCAGAACAATCCTGAGATCGCTAACTGAAACACACAAGTGATTTAAAGGGTTAGTTCACCCAAAAATGAAAATTCTGTCAGTATTTACTCACCCTCATGTTGTTCCAACCCCGTAAGACCTTCGTTCATCTTCGGAACACGAATTTAGATATTTTTGATGAAACCTGAGAGCTGAATTACTCCTGCATACTAGTCCATAGGCTTCTTGAGGAATTAAAACTTTCTGGCCTCGAAAAATCATTAAAGACATCGTTAAAATAGTCAGAGTGACTACAGCGGCTCAATCTTAAGTTTATCAAACAACAAGAACACTTTGTGCACAAAAAACAACAAAAATAATGACTTTATTTCAACTTTCCATTTACTTCTCCCTCTGCCTCGAGTCAGGTTACTACAGGGGTCGGGAACCTTTTTACCAAGAAGAGCCAAACAAACAAAACAAAATTGAGAATTTTTTCAAAAGAGCCAGAGCAAAGTTTACACTCGTATATTAGACAAATTTGCAACAGTAATATATAATAACAACAGTACAACGACTTGCACTGGTAGTGGTATCAGTTCTGGTAGTTATATAACGTTACAACAACAACAACAACTAGGGTTGACTAGCTTTCGCGAAGCACATAACATACGCGCGTGTTATGCGCACAGTATGTTCTATCTCACTCTATTCCGGGAGATTTTAACAAATTTTCGGGCATCAGGGAGACCGGAGACGCTATCAATATGCGGGAGACTCCTGGAACTTTCGGGAGACTTGGGATGTCTGATATTTTGTTCACGGACATGCTGGTTTACACACTGGACGAGAAGCGCAGCGCCTCCTTTAAAATTCAAACACTTTATTCTCTATGACTCCTAGACTAGGAGTGTACACCGGTGACCGGCGGCACATTCAGTGTCTGTCCGCGGTGCCCAGCAACGGCTCAGCAGGACCTTGTTCAAAATCCTGCCTCGCCACAGAGCGCCATTTACATAGTTTTATATAAAATTTACTTTTATTTGTCTCAAACCGTCGTTAATGCAGGCTACATACTGACTTCACCGTGTGCAGCAATTTATATGTACTTTTACATTCATTTTCAGAAATCAGCTGCTTAACTCTTTCCCCGCCAAACACGGAATTTTCCGTGTTTAATGAAAAAACGCATCCCCGCCAAACACGGAATTTTCCGGGTATCCGTGTTTTAGGTGGTATACGGTAAGGAAGACCCGCGCGCATGTCCTGAATGAGTGCGCAACTCTTTGATCACAGAAACAGATTGCAATCGTCTCAAACAGTGGAGTAGTGAGAATGTATCAGACAGACAATGCAGAGGTATATGGCTGAAGTACTGGAGGTTAATGGACTCGGAGTCCGATCACTCTTTATTTGATCATTCTGAATCTGATCGGGACGAAGTAGTCAGTGAGAGAGATGCACATGTTCATGCTAGCCATGGACGTGCCGCAGATAGATCGTATAATATTATGACACTATAATATTTATGTGTGTGTGCAGGCATTTATGTGTGGCTGTCTAAATATGAAGGTGTAATTGTCAAATTATTTCTCTCTTTGTGCACATTTACCACATTGTAATATGTATTTGTGTGTGTGTGTGTGTGTGTGTGTGTGTGTGTGTGTGTGTGTGTGTGTGTGTGTCTGTCTAGGCCTTTTTATTGTAATTCCAATTATTCATTATTCACAGGTAGAACACAGAGAGGCAGAGGCAGAAGTTTTATTGCAAAAGTTACATTTCCCTTACATCCTGGGAAATTTGATATATTTTACATTTATTTATGTTTTTAATTTATTTTGGAAAGTTTTATATATGAAGGAAACAACATCTGAATGTATTCTGCTTTTAAATGCACTTGTTTGATAAAAATACCTTTTTCTCAGTTTTTTGTCCAAAATGTTGTGTTTTTGACAAAACCTACCTCTGTTCAAGAGGCAATAAAAAAAGAACAAATGAAGATAAAATAAAAACGTTTTTTTTGCCTAAAAGCAGAGGCTCAGATCTTTATTTTTATATATATCATCTTCATATATTCATGGAAGAAAATATTCAGCGGGGCATTAAAATTTAGCGAAAATCGTCAAAAACCCTGGCGGTGGCTGGCAACTTTTTTTAAAAATGCTGGCGGGGAAAGAGTTAAATGAGAATTGCTGAGATAAAGTGTTCTGCAGACTAAGCAACGATTGTATTTAATTGTAGGCTACAGTACAATTATAACATAGTACAGACATTATCTTAATTCCATAATGTCTTTAGTTTAAACATAACAATATTGCCGGCCATAAACTGAGAAAGTGCGCGCGTCCGGTGTGCGATACCTCTTTCCTAGACGCGGCGCGCGCTTCTCGTCCGGTGTTATCACACCACACAAATTGAGAAACGGGTATTATAAACAAGTGATTAACAAGTGCTGCATGGTGCATCTCGAATTGTCTCTTAATATTTTACTTTTTGAGAGACTTTTTCAGTCAGCATTTGAAAATTGGGAGAGCCATATAAAATCCTGAAAAGAGCCATATATGGCTCGCGAGCCATAGGTTCCCGACCCCTGGGTTACTAGTTTAATAGCGTAGGCTTCTGTTATTGTACGTCACACGCATCACATACGACCAGCGTCGGCCAATAGGGGATTATCACGCTTCCGGGTTTCATGGGCGGGATTTGTCAACTTTGTGCATGTCCACTTCCGTCGCAGTTCAACAATGCCTGAGACGAATGCTATTTATGTCACTGCTCTGTTCCACTTTGTAAATCTAACCAACAACGCCAACCCTACTTAAGTTTTCATGGATTCCCGTCTGAATTGAGAATAAGGAAGAAGTGGATTAAAAATTTAAAATAAAACAAGGTAGCACGTTTGTTTGCAGCCGGCACTTTAGTGAATCAGACTAATTTACCAGGGATGCTGTATAAATAAACTTAGTGTAGTCCTTCATCAGTTTGCCAGCGAGATAGGTGATTCAACGGAAGTGGCAGTGCACAAAGATCACAGAATCCGGAATTACTACGTATCCGCGTGATAATCCCCTATTGTGAGCCTACGTGTTACGTAGCTCTACGCTATCACACTACGTTAACTGACTAGAGGCCCATAGAGAAGGAAGTTAATAGTTGAAATAAAGTCATTATTTTTGTTTGTTTTTGTGCACAAAAAGTGTTCTCGTTGTTTGATAAACTTAAGATTGAGCCGCTGTAGTCACTCTGACTATTTTAACGATGTCTTTGATAACTTTTCGAGGCCGGCAAGTTTCAATTCCAGAAAGTTTCAATATAATTTACATCACAGCAAAGATGAAAATCAGAAGAAGAAAAAAATCAAGCAAAATCAAGATAAAAACTTACAATTTGGAGGATCAGGAGGATGTTTACTGCGTTTTCTCCTGAGAGCTGGTTTGTTGACAGCGGTCACTGTATGAAACAAAAGTCTACATTAAATTGGACTTTAATCACAGAAACACATACTAACAGAAAACAACATATTTTAGTGATTCTTAAAGTAGAAATGTGAAAGTGCCCTCTAAACATTGGACTTCGGATAGACGTGCAAATCATGTCTATATTGGGTCTGTCGGTCCATGACCAATTCTATCTATTCGACGTCCAAACTAGGTCCCCTATTGACCCAACCATGACCCAACTTGGACGTTATATTGACGTTCAAAATTTGACCTTTGAACTGAGTCATTTTTTTGGACCTCATTTGGACGTCTAAGACAGGTGCAGGAAATTGCCATGATTAACCCTTGTGCATTGTTCAAATTCACTACCCTTTCGTTATGTTCGTGGCTGAAAAAAGCCACTACTTTAAACTGCTGTAAAAATGTATCAGATAAATCTTTTTTTTTCAAATTTTTTTGCATAAATCTATTAACCGACCTCAGTCCTGATCAAAACTATTACATTTTTTTTTTAAATTCAGGATTTTAACTCTTTAATTGCCAAATTCATAAATGATGTCACTGATTTGGGGGGAAAAAAAACACAAAATTACTTATTTTCAATATAAAATATGATTGTGGACTGGATTTTTTTTTACCTTTTATCACAGTCTTGGACATGTCAAAGATTAGAAACAGCATTGGTTTTGATGCATTGTTAGTTTTTGTGCAGACATTTGTGTTTGTGTTTTAACCACATTTTTTGATTGCAAAGCCATGACACCATAAAATCATGCATTTTTGATTGTTGATGGTTTTCCCTGTTGGGAAGAGGTAAAATTTGTCATTTTTACTGTTGATAACCAGTTGGAACCATTTAACCCTTT